GGAGTAGATATACATTGTGCTCCTATAGGAGCATAGTATACAAGGTCCTTAAATAGTGGGTCTTTCTCTCCTTTCTTTCATATCTTCTCTTATGTTTTGAATTTATGGATGGCTGGACTTCTCAATTTGAGCTTGAATCATACAAGCCACTTCTCTTACACTAGGGGCTTTTGTCCACTTTTAAAGGATGTTTTATGATTGGCAACTGTACATTGATCCCGCGGGAGCACATTTACCCCTCATGTAAAAGACTCGAGAATTTGTTTAAGGACTTATTTAAGGGATTGTATAGTATGAGGCCATTAATTTTGAGTATAGGGCAATGGTTTAGAAAGCGGATCGATGATCCGGATCGGACACCTCAAAAATTGATTCGGATCGGTGAATCGGCGATCCGGATAGGGAATCGACTGAATCGGTCAGATTAAAGCTTTAAAAAAATCCGAAAAAATTATTAAAATTCATTATAAATATTGTTTTTTAGGAATTCAATAAAAAATGAGGGTATTCCATTAAAAATTTTCATTTCTTTGCATGAATATGCGAATATTGATATGTTCTTTCCCTGCATGAAGTACTACTTACCATTTAATTTACATCACACAAAAGGATAAACATAGAATTATCATGGAATAAGTATATCAACATACATGGACTACAATAAAGCATACAATTAGTAACATACGATCTAAAAATAAAATGACAGACGACGTCGTTCTTCTTCTTGGTCACGCTGGTTATTTGTTGTTATTTGTTATTGCAAAAATACTTCTATTGACAATAATATTTTCGTATATATCAATTACAAACATATAGGATAATATAATACAAAATGCAAGCTCCAAACATGGCTACAACTCAATTATCAATAACATATATTTTTTGCATTAAAAATTTAATAATAAAATTGAAAAAATGCAAGATAATATAATTGTCATACATGCCACGATTTTTTTACAATGATATTCACTTTAATTCCTCACGATAATACAATTTAACAACATGTATTTTTTGCGTTCAAAATTTTAAAAATTGAAAATACATTTTTAATGCAAAACTAAATTAAAAATATAATAATATTTTGCATTAGAAATATAATAACATGTATGTTTTTGCATCAATATTCTATCAACATGCAATTTTTTCAACAAAAACTGTAACAATAAAAATTAAAAATATGGTTTAATACCTCATGATAATCAAAACCTGGTCACTATTTTCACATTTTTTCGGAAAATCACTATTTTTCAAAAAATCGATCATGTACTAAAAAAAAAACAAATAAAAACAATTCTTCACAGAGCCACCTAACATTAGTCATTCCAACTCAAAAATGCATTAACAACAAATTAAAAAAAATACAGTTTTGCAATAAAAATATAATAACATGCATTTTTTTGCATAAATAATCAATCAACATACAAGTTTTTCAACAAAAAATTTAACAATAAAAATTAAAAATATGGTTTAATACCTCATGATAATCAAAACCTGATCACTATTTTCACATCTTTTTGGAAAATCACGATTTTTCAAAAAAAATCGATCATGTATTAAAAAAAAAACAAATAAAAATAATTCTTCACAAAGCTACCTAACATCGGTCATTCCAACTCAAAAATGCATTAACAACAAATTAAAAAAAAATAGTTTTGCATTAAAAATATAATAACATGCATTTTTTTTGCATAAATAATCTATCAACATACAATTTTTTTCAACAAAAACTTTAACAATAAAAATTAAAAATATGGTTTAATACCTCATGATAATCAAAACCTGGTCACGATTTTTACATCTTTTAGGAAAATCATCATTTTTCAAAGAATTCGATCATGGATAAAAAAAAAAAAAGGACAGCAAACTCAAACAATAAAAATTAAAAATATGGTTTAATACCTCATGATAATAAAAATTGTTACGATTTTCACATCTTTTTGAAAAATCACAAATTTTCAAAAATTCGATCATGGATTACAAAAAAAAAAAAGTTCTTCACAGAGCTACCTTACATTAGCCATTTCACCTAAAAAATCCACCTCCAAACGAATAAATTACATCCAATTGAGTATATGTTTTGATAAACAACACTATAAAGAATCAAAACCCTAAATTATGAACACATTATCATCAATAAATTAAATCAAATCGTTTAAATTGAGCAAAAAAAAAAAACACAGTTATTCACAGACAACAGTCATTGAATCTAAAAAATGAAGCTCAAATTAAATAAATCAAATCAAATTGAATACATCTGATTATAAACAAGACTATAACGATTCAAAACCCTAGAAATCTAACACATTATTTGTAATATATCATGAAAAATAGATCGAAAGGCCGAAAAAAAAAAAAATAGCAGAATTTTTTTCCACAGACATCACTGTGTTCTTCTAAAACTCAGACTGTAATTGAGTAAATTAAATAAAATTGAATATGGTAAATGATAAAAGACACGATAAAGATTTAAAACCCTACAAATTTAACTGAATATTTTCAAAATATGGACTGAAGTTGATCAAATGGCGGGAAAAAAAAAAAACGCAGAGTTCTTACCTGGTTTCGTGAACCCGTGGCTTCAATCTCCAAATTAATATGTTTTCTCAAAGGCAATCATAAATTCGTAACAGAAATTTCCAATGAACATATTTACGATCAATATGCCTCAAACTTTTCACAGATTCATGCCCTATTTGGCACGAAACAAAACGAAAAGCGGAAACCCTAAAACCCGAACTTTCTTGATCCAAAAAATTGAAAGTTTTCCACCATTTAATGCATGAAAAGGTTGAAAAAAGCTGCATAAAGCCTGAATATTTGATTACATGGCAAAAAAAAAGAATAAAAATGATAAAAAAAAGATAAAATTTGAAGAAACCCGTGAAGAACACTGTGCAGCCCGTGTTCTTCACGAGACTCGCCGATTCGGTACAGTGAATCGACGATGCACTATACAGAATCGCCCGGTTCTCTTTGGAATCGGACGATTCCGTGTAAAATACTAGAACCGGCACGGACTGTGCCAATTCCCGACTCGACGTTTTTTAAAACACTAATATAAGGAGGTCACAATTATTTTTAGCCATTGGATGTGAAATCCAATAAATGAAATTGTCAAATTATTTGAGAATTTTTTTTTAGGATTTTATATCTAAGCAATGACACATGCTTAACAGCCTAATTTCAAATCTAACAAGCAACAATGATTGTGATATCCTTGTTTCATAAGTAAATGGTCTTATTATATACATTTCTTTTATTTAATGGGGATTGTTAGTATCCACATTACAATCATGATATTAAGTATCCTATAACAACAATTTTGGAATCCGAAAAATTGGACAATCTCCGTTTAGTATGAGGAAATTATTTTATCAAGCACAACGAATAATTTTTTGTTGCATTTTCGGACAGCCTTTAATTTGCATTGTGCTTGCAGGAGGAAAATGGAGCAGTCATAAAAGAGCAGGTTGCAGCAAATTAAAGGTGATTCGAAATGAGCAGGTTGCAGCAAATTAAAGGTCGTTCGAAAAGGAGCGTAAAAGTATGAGAAAGGACTAGAACTGAATACATTATTCATGGAGTTTCAGAAGCACTTGGGCCGCCTTGGAAGACAAGAAGATCATGCTTTGAAAGACTACAACTCAAGACATTATTCATGGAAGACAAGAAGATCATGCTTTCAAAGGGCCAATAGATGCAACTATAAGTACATACATAATCACATGAGGCCTTAAACAATCAAAGTAAGGTGCACTTTCAAATAGTATCGAAAGATTTCGTTTCAATATTAAAAATCTTTATGATAGCCTAAAAGTTTATTTTCATCTCTAATTATAAAATTTAAAGTTTCAAATTATAAAATTTAAAGTTTCAAATGTAGATCCAACAGATATATGAACAATTAAAATTTTTGAAAATTGATGGTTCAAAAACACAATACAAGATGCACAATTTCCAAGATTTGTAATCTATTTTTTCTCATTTTCATACATCTTGAAGTCGAGATAATTGATTTGAGGATTCTTTAGTATCGAAAAAACCTCTTCTAGTGAATTTTTGGGGTGCACCTTAATTTGATTCTTTAGGGCCTCACCCTTATTATATAAACTTTTTCCTATTTTTAGACATCTAATCTTGATGAAACCACTCAAAGTATTTTATTTCTCGTTTAAATTTTATAAAGCATTTTGCTTTGAAATTGGGAGCATGCACAACTCTCATAGGGATGCATATGATAAAAATAAGAAAAAAAAATATTTCTGATAAAAATAATTTATTATTTCTGACAAAAATAATCAAAATACTCCTAAATCATTATAGGTATTTTTTGTCATTTTTTCATCGAAAGTCTTTTTTGAAAAAAAAAATTCTAGTTGTTCCTAAGGTCATACCCCAAAAGTCATTCAAAATTGATTTGCACAAAAAGTTACAACAAAAAATAGGCCGAACAAAAAATAAGCCGAACATTGTGGCTAAAGCTATCACAACCGCCTATTTAGATCTGAGAGCTACGAATAGCTCACACATACTTAAACATTTTATATGCTAAGAGATACGTGGAAGTCACATTTTAAAAATGAGTAATGATCCTATAAGACCCTCCCCCACCTATGTGTGTAGGACCCCAAAGGATCACCATTAAAGATGATATGGATTTTTAAAAAAGTTATTACATGGGTGTAGGACTTGACTTTTCTATAGATCCGTGTCAACTTTAATGATGATCCTTTGGAGTCTTACATACATGGATGGAGAAGGGTCCTATGGGATCATTACTCTTTAAAAATGTCTAGAAAATAGAGCTTCCTCGAGAAATGTAACCCCAAATGTACCTCTACAGCTTCCACAGTTAATGGAAGGTATAAAAGCCTGGCCACCAAAACATGTGAACATGCCACCACCCCCCTCCCCCTCTCTCTAGCCAGTAAAATAACTACCACCATGACCCCCATTTCTCTCTCTCTTGTGTTGACATATGCATGGAAGTCACCCAGACATATGCACAAAAATGAGCCTATGTCCATAGTATGTACATATCCATATACTTATGCATCTAATGCATGTATGTATCTACCTATAGTGGCATCTATTGGACCTTTCAAATCATGATCATCTTCTCTTCCATAGCTAGTCTTTCATGAAGGCGGCCCAAGTGCTCCTGAAACTCCATGAATAATGCCTTCAGTTTTAGTCCTATCTCATACTCTTCCACACCTTTTGGGACAATCTTTAATTTGCTGCAACTTTCTCTTTTTATTATTACTCCATTTTCCTCCTGCAAGCACAATGCAATACAAACTGCTAAGTTTAAAAACAAAGAGAGGAATATGAGAGAGAATCAATTCCAGAGAATCAAACAACAATAACGCTTGTCTTCATCCAAAACCAGAGCAAAATTAATAGTATGCTCAAACCAAGCACGAACCAATATTTGAATGAACATATCAATCCAGTTTTTTTCCTTTCTTTAATAGAATAAGAACCCCTTCTCTTCCAACCTTGATATTGAATAACAGATCTTTACTTGGTTGAAAGAGAGAATTTAACATTCCAGATATCAATATTATGAGGATTAGACCAGCCATCGAAATGGTGAGAGGCCTGATCCAATAAAAAATAATTTGATTGCCAGACCAGCTGGGTTTATAAAATAAAATAAAGCGAAATAAAATTAATATTTAAAGATATAAAATATATGACAAAAAAAGTCACTCACCGACAGGCTAAAACAGATCAAATATTGTTTTTGACTGGTATTCATGACCGATCTTTTCTAAACCATCCAACTAGCCCGTCCAGTTGTTTAGAAGGCTTCTATCACTGATAAATAACTATAATGCCCCAAAACAGAAAAAATGACTATAATATAGGTATTTAATTGTCATGCATAGGCCAACTGAAGGCAACACATGCTTCACGACCATTGATTTCCTGGATTTCTCAGTTATATGTCACTCAAGTTGAATGCAAGTATTAATTTCATACTGACCTTAGATGATGACAGTCTGAACATAGAAGCATTTCCAAGCGTTCCTGACCTACATTCTTTCTCGGTTATCACCCAAGGTCTGCCAAGAGAGAAGCATATAAGATTTTAAAACAAAAAATTTATTTATCATGGACACAAATTTCTAACACTAATCAGGAAAATGATGAACCAGAAACTGTAGTCAATTTTGTACAATTTTCACCAGAACGAAAGGGGGGACAAACCCATGCACATATATGGCCTATTTTGTAGTGTTAAATATTAATTGAAGCCTGCAACACCAAAGGCTTCATGTCATTTTCTAGCCAAAGGCTTCATTGATAAAAAGTTATGCTTCACTGACAGTTCTAATTTTTCGAATGCTTGTTCAATCATGTTCTGTGTTTAGGCCAGAGAGGAACTTTAGCCCCCATAAATTGTGAAGAAAAGAATTTTCTCTTTTTTTTTTGGTGGAGATTACTAGAGTTAGCATTCTAAGAATGCTTGCATGTACTCTGTTTACATTGTTCCTGTTTAAACACATGTATATAGAGAACTATTTCCCGACTTGTAATGAAACAACGCTAGGCCCATATTGATCAAATTCTGGATTAGAGTGAGTAGAATCAGAGAGACAATAAAGAAAGACAGTAAATGAGTATGAATCACTGATATTGAAACAAAATGATGTGTTGTACAAGAGATCTAATGAGGTAGAGCTGAAAATGTTGGAACTGTGGCTATCAGGCCCTCTCTTCTCCTAGGAATTTATTTTTCAATAATAGTACAAAAGCCATATTATATGGTATATGTAAAATCCCATGTGGTTGACATGAGGCAATGCCATATATTAGGATCCATTTTGGAGTTTTCCTAGAGTGACACTGGATGGAAAACCCAATGGTGTGTTTAGATTATTTGTAAGAATTATTTTTCTATATTATAGATGCACAAAATTATTTATTTTCTAAATATCTTTTATTAAATTGTAGGAATTTTGGATGGCATCCTATTATGTGGGTCATTAGTGGACTAATTACAAGTTTAGCTCTTTATATAGGATTAATAGTTTGGTGACAACTTGTTAATGCTAAGGGAATTAAGGTAGGAGTTATACTTGGATCTCAACTCCTATAGACCATGAATGTGACAGTTACAAACCAAATGGTTCTCTATAAAAGAGGTTAATCCCTCAAGTAAAGCAGAAAAAAGAGAAGGATGAAAATGAGACATCGAAGGTGAATGAGATTCATCAAAGAGGACTCTCAAGGTAGCCTGTCATCGGATGGCTTGGTCTGTAGGTTTTAGTATGGAACCTTATGTCTCTCGTATGATTTAAAGACAGATCCGAGTAAGTTGTTTATCGATTTTATTTATTTATTTGTTGATTTAGTAATGGGCCCAACAGAAAAGCCATATAAAAGAAGTATAAGATTATTAGCATGAGATGAACAAATGGCATTTCATGTGAAAACACAAAACACGTACAAAAAAATAAATTGAGATTCATGTAGACTTCTAAGGTGGTAATATCAAGTTTATGACAATGAAAGATCATGCCAAACATGAGAGAATACATCGTACTTTTCTTTTCCTGTTTAATAGATATGCTATTGTAAATAAATTATAACTTTTGCATGCGTTAGCAGTGGGATTCTACTGTGGGATATAGTCTTGTAATAATCAATACTGAAACCAAACAACCCCATGCCCATATCATCTGTAAATACATTTCAATAATGGAAATGCATGTATAAGCCCAAAAAAGAGTACACAAAAATCACAAACTTGTGGCAAGATTGTGTAAGCAAAAACATGGTCAATACCATTTAGAAGTGCCAACAAACATGCCCCTAACCAATATTACACCTTTTCTGAACCATATCATTACGATTGCAAGACTTTGTCACACTCGTGATCAGACTTGAAAGTAAAAAGTAAAAGCTCATGGAATCAAGAACTAACTCCACAAAGAACAAGGCATTATATAAAATGGAATCCAACAAAAAGTGGCATGGAAAGCAAAATCTGAAAACAATTATAACCAATGATATTTCTATCGAGTTTAAAACCCATCCAAATATCTCAACTGTATAATTCATATCTAAAACACAACTTCAAAAGAAACCAATGCTCTATACTGTGTTCCATCAGTGCACCAAAAACCATAACATTGAGCAAGAAGATATGAAGGCCCTGAAGATTAGCAAACATTTCAAAACCATAATACCAAAGACTTCGAGACCCTAAAATAATAATCAAGACCCTAAAAATAATGACACATCACAACCATAAACAAAAAAAAAAAAACAAAGAAATGAAGGGGCAAAAGTCACTTTTCTTTGGTTATGGTCAAAAAAGCAAACTAAGCTATAATGAGAGAAACAAAGCTCAAGCAACTTAGAATGGGCATACCTTCCTTTCAGTGAAATGATCATGCGACCAGGATCACATAGAAAGCCAAATACATAATTGAATTCCCTTTCCTTCTCCAAGAAAATAGCTCCCATTGCATAAACCTCTGTCGATATGCTAGGGGACACACAGGCTTGACAAGAAACAAATGTTTGTTCATAGATGAAATCCACAATCTCTGAAGCAGTGAGATCTGGCTCCAAATTCTCAATGAAGATAGCATAATATGTATGTAAGTCTTCAGGGGCTTTGATAAACACACTCACTCTATTACAATCTTCATTGTCCTCGGTCTTCTCAGCGGAAGAGTAATTCTTCACTAAATTTCTGTCCGCATGACAGTTTCCATCCATATTATTTACATCAACAGTTTCCAGGATTTCTTTCTTCGAGCTGTTGAGGAAAGAACTTAAGTTAGTATTATTTTTTTAGCATCTACTATCTATCCCTCATATATAAGACCGATATTTATCATGAAGAAAGTGAGAATAAGGTAAAACAAGTTCTTCGAATCCTCAGCAACTGACCTGATAAGTTTCTCACAGGCCGTGAGAAAAGATTTCAGTGTTGGGTTGTTCTTCGCATTGCCAGGTTGTAGGATGCAAATATTCTCAATATGAATAGATCCTTTCTTCCCAGCTCGTGGACCTGCTTTCCATATAACATCAAAAGTGCACTTGCAGATCTCCTCTCTACCGACAAATGTATGTCTAGCACAGATCACCTAAAAGAAAACAATCTTCACAAACAGATAGACAACCACCACCTGAAAACAATAACCAAATAGAAAAGTACATAACCTTCAAGGTGGACCTCTCTCTCTCTCTCTCTCTCTCCACATGCATACACGATGTACCATTGTGTTATATCAACCAACCTAAGAATGTTTTACAAGACATAAGGGTAAGTGTGTTTTTTAACTAAATAATTATTTACTGGGAGAAGTAATTCTCTAATTGCTTCTCTTCTATGAGTCTGAGTTTGATTATTTACTCACTGAAGTTGATTATCTAAGGTCATCCCTGTTTATTTTATGACCAACAATTATCCATGAGAAGAAGCTATATAATGTGACAATCCTTTTTGTCAAAAAAAAGCAGTGTCCAACAGTGTCCAAAAAAGCAGTCCAAAATTATTGTGAAAGATTATCGCAGCCTTCGTCAAGTGAACTGAAGCATTACAGGGAATCTTCTAATTAGTGGAAAATTAGCTGTGATCATGTATAGATTGATCACAATAAGAATTCACCAGAAAATGAGTATAGAATTGAATGTGACAAAACTAGATTGTCAAAGAACATCTGCCCAGCACAGTAGCCATTGAAAAGGCTACAACTAGAACATGACTGATTCTTAAGAGATGTAACTCAACTAATTTGTACTGAAAACATGATAAGAGAGAAAGAAAATGAACCATTTACACCTTTTCCTATCAACTAAAGCCCAATCACACCGCCCTCATTCACCCAACCAAGCCAATCAAGCCAAGAAGCATCAATGTCGAACCAAATTTTACAAGCCCAATAAATGAGGAGAAAACAGTGTCTTAGTTCAAAGTTCAAGTCACTGCTAGTTCATGCTAATGAATCACAAACCAACCCACATCAATATATAGGAAAGATATGCCACGCACCAATGGTAAAACATTATGGTAAACTGTAGTGACATCTATTGTACATTCCTGATGACGGATTGTGAAGATTTCTTGAAATTCCTTTTAACACACACAACTTGCATAGTTATTAACTTGATATAATTAAACTCCACCCTTAGTGATTGAGAACGAAGGGTCAAGATTCTTGTGGCGTACCATGTAGCACAAACCAAAGGTGTACGGAATACTTCCCTACTGTTAATAAATCAGAACCTTTTGCGTCTTAGAAAATGCTAACAACAGATTATTTCATACACCAGCAAGGCAGTAACAAACAAATTACCCGCCCCAAAGAATAGAAAAAGAGCACATATACTATGCTCCCAAGTCCCAAAGGAACAAACTATATATCTACTCTCTCAGTTAGAAGACCTACTTGGGATGATCTTTTCAATCTAAAATTTTGAAAACCACCTAAGAACTTCTAATCGATTATTTTCAAAAGAACAAATTTGCATTTTGAGTTGTCAAACACTTGGGTCCCACCCTTCAAAAATTTGATGGTCTATGTTCAACCTTGAGACATTATTTTTTCAAGTGCATAGAGTGCAACTTGGAAATGTTTTTCCAGGTTGGTCTATGGATTGAAGAGGTTACATCCCAAAAGTTGAGGTCCTAAAGTTATCTCTAAACTGGGTTTTATTGGAAGGAGTAAATAGACAGCGTACTCACCAGAAGTATGAATTTTTGGGAATAGGAAAAGGAAGAGAATAACGAATGATAATTAGTTAATATCAATAGGTAATAAATCTAGAAGGATAATCTAGGAGGTTAACACTCATGTTTTTAATTAGAAGAATTTCAGAATTTTCAAAACATTGGATGTGACAATATTAGATTGCTAAAAAACAATTTTCCAACATAACAGACAGAAAATTCAGCGAAACCGCCGCAAATGAAGAGAGGAAAATACTCTAAATATTTTCTCTATTGTTTAGTTCGAAGCTCAAAAATCTGCAGGTTCATGTTATGTCCATATCATAATATCCCATATGCATGTATTGGGAAAGTACACCATACATCAATGAAGTAGTATACACAACACATCAAGAGAACATCCAGTGTCTTGTTCCTGAGGATAAACATTTCTATTAAAATTTCTGTAAACACATGGACCCTTATATGCATAATCTACACCTGCCCACCATAGAGGACCAATGATGGATACTCACATGGTGTATCATATACCATGCACCTATAGCGTACGCATACTTTTCCTCCTAATTATATATAACAACATATTTGTGGCTTAACATGCCAAAGAAACAGCATTTCATAAACCTAGTAAATAACTACAAATAAATTAACCATTTAGTGTAAAGAAATGTGTCTTAACTCTTAAGCTAGAGGGATTTCCTCTTGATCCCAACACATGTGCAAAAATAAATAAATCCAATTTATTAACTTAATTCAACAGCCCCAAAAAACTAGAAAAATAAATTACACAAGCCAGTGATAGTAAACTGTAAAAAATATTAAATAAATATTTAATGTTGTCTTTATTATTTTTGCCGAGAGGACTTTCAGATTTTCACCTTTCTTCCAAAAAAAACCCACATAAATAATGAATGAAGCCAAAAACTTGAATTACCCAAAATGATGACAAACCAGTTACAAATGATAACTAATATTTTGAGTAATTTTTCCATTTTCAAGTAGCTATATTTCAGATTTTCCCATTTAACCAACAAACTCACACGAGCAATAAATAGCTTGGATTGCCCTGAAAATAGAAAAGGAGGAGAAACAAATGACAATAAAGTAAATAAAAGCAATATTTGAGTTCATTTATCTTAGTTTTCAGCTAGAGCAATCTCAGACATTCCCCACTTATCCAACAAACCCACAAAACCACAAATGCAGCACACAACTTGAATCAGTGTACAAAAAATTGACTCGAGTTAGGTGCACCCAAAAAAACTTAAAAAAAAGGCTTAAAGAAATTTTTAACAATCTCTAAAAATTCTGTAAATATCAGAAACAGTTATTTGCCTTTTGTATTTCTAACCACTATGCTAGTGTTTTTTTATTTCTATTTTTTAGATCATGCGGGAACTAACAGAAAAAACTATGAAAATTCGATAACTGAAACAGTAGATTTATATCTTGAATACTCTTAAAAATATTTACAAAAAGGGCAAATAATGAAGTTCGGACATAATCTAAAAAAACTAACAAAATCTTTTGAAGAGGTATTTCAAACCACTATGCTAGTGTTTTCTTATTTCTATTCTTTACATTTTTATATAATTTTTCTAGCATTTATTTAGGAGTAACGAGTTGTACACCTAACTTGGGAGGAAAGACCGAGTCCGCTCGACTCGGCCAAGTCCCAGCACACTAACTTGGGAACTCTCAAAAAATAGATAAAGGAAGACAAAAATCAAACAATAATAAACCAGTAAGAAAGAATAGTACTTCCAATTTCCATTTAGAGGAATTTCAGATTTTCCCATTTATCCAACAAGACCTATATGAAAAAATAAAATAGAAAAAAGAAGACAAGCAAATGCCAATGAACTAGAACTACCCAAAAATTGATAATAAACCAGTAATAAATCATAAACAAATAAATACACTAACTTGAATTACCAAATCCTAAAAGTTATTAGAATAAAAAAATATATAATTTTCTAAGAAAAAAATCATGAAAGAGTCCTTCAAAATGGTACATATTCACTTTGCTTCGGCCTTCGACCTAAACCAAAGCAAAGCGAAGCTCCGATGCATCCACTTCAGCATGCTTCGCTGCATAAGCTTTGGCCTCCGAAGCACATATATGTCTTTTTTATTAATTGTTTTTTTTTTTTGAATTTTTATGTTCAAAATTTTTATTATTTTCATACATTTGTATATATAAAACTATGTTTTATTTATATTATTCTTTTAAAAAAAAATCCGAAGACGTCTAATTTTAGGGAAAGGATATTTCCATCCACTCAGAAATGGAATTAAGATAACCACTTATGAAAACTCAAAACACAAAGTAATAAAGCCCAAAAACCACTTTATTATTGACAAGGCCGAGGCCAAAATTGTTTTGCATGTAGTTATTAAGATCTGAAAAAGTTAATGTAAGGATGCAACCTTATAATGTAGAATTAGAGATGCACCTTAAAAATCTATCGGAAAAGGTAGTTTTAATATTGAAAAACCTTATGATTGATCATCTCGACATGATGTATGACCATGAAAAATAAAAAGATTTTAAGTCTCAGAAATAATACATTTTACAACATATTATCTACACCGTCTATTTTCAAGATTTTCATATATTTAGAGATCCACTAGATTTTAACCATTTTTTAAATTTAAAATTTTATAATTAGATATAAAAATAGATTTTGAGATAATCCTGAAAACATTTCACATCGAAATTATATATCATCATAAAATTTGAAAGTGCACCTTACCTCTACAGCTACGAATGCACTGTACCCATCAAGATCAGATTGTTTTGCATGTAGTTATTAAGATCAGATTTGACTGTCCCACCAATCGGGTTAGCAAATGGAAAACACGTTTTGGGAAACCGCTTTTGCACCATGAAGAACAAAACCTCTCAAACGCATAATGACAAAAAAACAGGTTCAGAAAACAAGTTCAAATCCATTTGTAGAGAGAGAAAGACCCAATCCAGTGAATGTCGCATCTCAAAATATTAAACCTCAGGTATCCATTGTCTTTAAAAAAAAAAAAAATATCCTGAGATGGTTTTCTCTGAGGAAGCCATGAAAAAACCAGAGAATCAAAAAACAATAATGGTAAAATATTACTCAGCACAAAATAGACGACAAAAAGAAGAAAATAGTTAGGAATTTTACCTTTTTAATAAGAGCATCGAAAAACTTCCTTCCATGTTGGCCTAGATCCTGTGAAGCACAAACTATCATTCCATCTAACACAGTCCAACACTCTTCATCTTGAAGTTGAGTAGAAACAGCTCTGAATCTCTCACTGAATTCATTCACTTTTTTTAAATCTTCAAAATAATCAACCATATACTTCATGAACACCGGTAAATCAACAGAAAATTTCATAGACAATGCGTCGTTTTCGAGACTGAGCTCGACATCATACCATGCATCATCAGAAGCTCTAAACTCTAGAGAGAAAGGGGGAGACCGAGAGGAGAGAGAAGAAGAACGGATTTTAGCGTTCACTTCTGGATTGGGTTTTGGTGGTCGACTTTCTGAAAAGCCCATGGTTGTAGGAAGAGATAATGAAGAGCAATGGGGTTTCTCTCTTTAGAGAATACTAAGAAAAATGGGTCTCTACAACAGAAGAGAGATAAATGTGTCTCTTTCTCTATCTCAAGAAAAAACTAAAGAAATGGGTCTCTCTCGCTGGTGGAGTATTCCGGTTTTGCAAGAGAAGAGAGAAAAATGGGTGGGTATCACCTGGGTTATAGAGAGAGAGGATCATGAAACAGTGAATTGTTTTTACTGGGATTTTTTCAGGTGATAATGTACCTGGTTTAAAGAGAGAGAGAGGAACACAATGAAAAAGTGGATACCACTACCTGTTTTTGTAATGGTTTTTGGGGTGAGAGGAAGAAGAAACCTGCCACTGATACGGTTTTAATTTCATGATCTATATTGGGCTCCATGACATGCTCGGAAGAGGCGGAAACTGTAACACCACATTTCCGGTTTTGGGTCGTTGGGTCTCTAGAGAGAGAAGAGGAGAGAGAGAGCTTTGTTTTGGAACACATTTTGTGAAGCAAGAAAGAGAAAGGATTTTCAGGCCTACTCAGTTGCCAGATTTAGGACGGTAAGAATTGAAAAACAAAGCACTCATGAGAGAGAAAACCAAATTTTCTCTCACCTCTTTTGCACGATCCTAAGAAATTAATGTAAATAGTGTCCACCAAATGTGGTTTTAATATTGGAAATCTTTGAGATAGCTTTAAAATATATTTTCATATTTATTTATAAAATTTGAAACTTCAAAAATAATATAAATCGACATATCTATTAAAACTTGAAAATCTTGAAAATCGACGGTCCGAAACAAAATACATTATTTTTAAAACTTGAAATCCATTTTTTTTTTATATTCATGGATTTTGATGTCGAGATGATCAATTTGAAGATATTTGGGCATTAAAACAACCTCTTCTAGTGAAATTTTTGAGGTAGGCTCAAATTTGATTGTTTAGAGCTTGGGCTTTATATAAACTTTTCTAAAAAGTTTATATAAGGATGCTACCTAGAAGTACATATGCTCCTCAAAAATCCATGGGAAACGGTAGTTTTAATATTGAAAAAACCTTTGTTTGATCATCTCAACATCGAGATGTATGACTATGAAAAATAACAAGATTTTAAGCCTCAGAAATAGTGCATTTTACAACATATTATCTACACCGTACATTTTCAAGATTTTCATATGTTTATAGATCTACTTGATTTTAACCATTTTTTAAATTTAAAATTTTAAAATTAGACATAAAAATAGATTTTGAGATAATTCTAATAACATTTTACATCAAAATTATATACTATGATAAAATTTGAAGGTGCACCTTACCTCTAAACCTACGGATGCATCCGTATGCCAACTGCATCATTTTATTTATGGACATTTAAAAAAGGGAAAAGTTTATATAGAGCTGAGGCTCTAAATAATCAAATTAGAGCCTAGCTTAAAAATTTCACTAGAAGAGGTTGTTTTGACGCCCAAATATCTTCAAATTGATCATCTTGACATCAAGAAGCATAGACACGAGAAAAAAATGGATTTCAAATTTTGGAAATAGTGTATTTTATAAAGCATTTTTTTACTGTTAATTTTCAAGTTTTCATAAATCTCTCGATCTACATTATTTTTGAAGCTTTAAACTTTATAAATAAAAATGAAAATATATCTTAAAGGTGTAAAAAAAATTTCCAGTATTGAAACCACATTTTTCGACACTATTTGAAGGTAGGCTCTAATTTGATTGTTTAGAGCCTAAGCTTAAATTATAATTTTACATGAAACACTGAATTATATATTTTTTTAAAAAAATTAATACCCTTCTCTTTTTTTTCTTCCTAAAATACTTGTTAGTTCTGTGCTCTCACTTTCAAACTGTATTAATGTTGGTTTTTTTGTAAAAAGAAAAAATTATTAACAAAATGGATGTATATGAATGATCTATCTAAAAGCAATTGAAGCTAATGGTCGAATTGTTTTTTTAATAGAATTATTATTTTTCGTTTTTAAATTTATTTATTTATTCATATTCACGATCTCCATGTTAGAGATAACATATCCTTAAAAATTAAGTCTACACATTCATCTCAAAAATAGATTTATTAAGGGGCCCACATTTATATATGTGCGGGCTAAGCGGGCATCCTAACCGTGTCCTTTGCAAATAACAGTGTTCAGAGTATTGAACATATTCATTCCTTTAACTAAGTTTTGTACAAAAAATAATGAACAAATATTCATTTCTGTGCTATGTTCTGAACTATTGGTACCAAACTGTTGTCTCTCCTCTTCTGGTACTTAACAATATCGAATGCTTTCATTTTTACTTGTTATATTTGTTCAATACTCTTAAAGAGTCAAAAGCATGATATTGTTGGCTCTGAAAAATATTTTTCGCAAAATCTACTCTCTCAAGAGTATAGTTTACTTCTACTCCCTAGGTCAGTGACCTAGGTCGGTGACCTACTTTGGAGATTTTTTTTCAATCTAAAATTTTGATAACCACTTTAGAATGAAATTTGAATTTTTTTCAAAAAAAAAAAAAGGAAATTTGAGTTTTTCAGAAACTTAGATCTCCCTTTTAAAAAATAGACGGTTTCTACTCACTCTTAAGATATGATTTTTTTCAAGTACTTAGAGGATGTAATTAATATTTTTTTTTAATAGGAATAATCTATATTTTAAAGACGCTATATCCCCAAAATTTTGGGTCCTAAAACCAATCCTAGGTGCGTTTCACAGAGAATAAATGGCTGTATACTTTTTGAAGGATTATAATATCTTTTGGCTTTGGAAAAAATGAAAAAAAGACCTAAAATTTGTTGGTCAAAAAACAGAAGACCTAAAATTAAAAAATTTAGAGACTTTTTTAAATGGATGAAGTTTGTATAAAACCTAGGCTTTATGAAAACAAAATAAAGCCTCACCTCAAATCTTCATCCAGAAAAAACTTTCGGCAATGGAAATATCCATAATGGCCATTAAATCAATTTTCAACACTGATAATGTATTTTGAAACTAAAAAAATGTAGAGATACTGCACATCTATGAACATTTATTTTTTGGGCAAAATGGATGGGCTAGATGATTTAATAGAATATATACTATTTTTGAAGCTTGAAATCCTTCTTTTTCTTCATAACCATAATGTTCAAGCAAAAATAATCGATGTAAAAGTTTTTCAACACTTGAATTGCAATTTTTGATGAGTTATACGGTGAGGCTTTACTTATTTTGAAAGGGATGAAGCCCTATCAAACTATTTTCCTAAAACAGGTATTTACATCAATTTTTTTGCTTTTAAAACTAGAAAAAGTTTATATAAGGTTGCAACCTTACCTCTGCAGCTACAGATGCACCTCAAAAACCTATCAGAAAAGATAGTTTTATTGTTGAAAACCTTTTGATTGGTCATCTCGACATCGAGTTATATGATCATGAAAAATAAAAATATTTTAAGTCTAAAAAATAGGGCATTTTATGATATATTATCTACACCGTCCATTTTCAATATTTTCATATGTTTATAGATCTACTTGAATTTAACTATTTTTAAATTTCAAAATTTTATAATTAGATATAAAAATAGATTTTGAGATAATCTTAATAACATTTTACATCAAAATTATATACTAGGACAAAATTTGAAAGTGCACCTTTTCTCTACAGCTACGGATACATCCGTATGCCAACTGCATTTTTTAAAACTTCATCATTTGACTGTCTAATTGCAAACAACTCAAAATTTTTTCACAAAATAATTCACTTGAAAAGAGGACGTCTCTCTCGAATTCAATTGAATGCCAGTCCAAGATAAAGCTCTGAAAGCTTTTCCTAAACTCTATTTTCTCATGAACTTTTTCTTATAGTAAAAGTATTTTCCTGTGCACTTTCTCACTCCTCCCAACAAAGATCCTCTCTCTCTCTTTCCACATACCAAACATACCTAGGAAAAGTATCTGGTAAGTAGGCCGGCTTACCTATTTATATGCAGGGCCCCTTCAAATTCGATGGATCTTATACTTTTTGCTTTATAATTTTTTAATAAATTAATTAACATTTTTATACATATTTTTAAGTGGAACAAGTTTATATAAGGCTGCAACTTTAAAAATGTAGAACTACATATGCACTTCAAAAATCCATGGAAAAAGTTGTTTGAGATGAATGGTTAGGAAAAAATAATGGATTTTGAATTCCAGAAATGATGCACACCTTAAAACACATTATCTAGACCATTCATTTTTAATATTTTCATATGTTTATAGATCTACTTGATTTTAATCATTTTTAAAGTTTAAAATTTTATAATTAGATATGAAAATAGATTTTGAGATAATCTTAAGAATATTTTTACATATGATCAAATTTGTAGGTGCGCCCTAAATAAATTGTTTAAGGTTGCAACCTTATGGAAACCACACCCCTTTTAAATATTGGCATCATGGTCCACTAATGATTGATCACAATCAGATCAGTCCCTTCAACAGTTATGATCGATCGGATCTATCCCTTCAACGGTTCGATAACAAGTCCGGTCCGTATAGCAACCCATTACCCCCTCTACAAAAAAACAAAACACACTTTACAAAGCATTACATTCTCCAAAACACTGGTACAAAGAGAGAGATTACTTTTGAATGACATAGAAGATTTTCCAAAGCAAAATACAAACAAAGGAATAATATACAACTATTCATTACTTATCCATTATTGAGTACTCAATTAGTCAAGATTCATGCTTAATTCAATATTCTTTTAAAGTTGGACTTATGACCTTATTGAGTGTATGGTCCTTAATAGCAGGGAACGGCCGGCAGATCAGTATTCATGTAGCCAACCCCAATTAATTGGAAAAAAGAAGGCTTACTCGAAGGTTTACAAAAAAATGTGGATAGGAATGCCCAAATTGGGCAGGCCCAACAAAATTGAAATCATCTCTTATCTCTTCCCTAATCTGGGCAGCCACAACAAAATTGAGAGCATCTCCATCTCTCTCACTCTTTCTTTCTCTCTCAACATGCAACATAGCAAGTACCTACACAAACATAAGCCATGCATATGAACATAATATGTACATGTTCATATACATACATACATGCATTGTGCCATATATACCTGCATGTATGTATCATGTAGAGAGCTTGGAGAGGATCTTCCCCTCTTCTTCAGCCAGTCTTATGTGGAGGCGTGATAAGTGATCATGAAGCTCAACGAATAAAGTCTTCAATACTTCTCTTTTCTCGTACGCCTGGTCATCCTTTGTGACAACCTTTAATTTCTTGCAAGCCTCTCCTTTAATTCTTAACTCATCTCTCCTGTAATACAAAAAAATTGGAGGGATAGCAAATAAACAAGAGGAATACAACACAGAACCACTTCCAACAGAGCCATGGAAAAAGGCTAGTAATTTTTTCCAAAATCATACTAATATCAACAAGGTGAAAATAGGTTGGACCCGGGATAAGGCCGACTTGAGCCAGACCTAGGATCCTACCCAGGATCGAACCTACAAAAAATTAAGTTGCCCAACCCCACCCTGTCAATGGGTCAGGCTGGGCCAATAGATACCACTTTAATCCATTAAAAGAAAAAAAGAAAAGAAAAGAAGGCCGGGACCTTGACCCAAG